ATTAAGGACTTCAAAGTCGAGGTTGGTCAGATTTGACATGATAAAACTATAAAATAATCAAAATGAAAATATAAGTTATTAGATAGATTTAGAACTTTTCTGATACACAAGATCCATATGTATAGGGAGTATAGAACATACTTAATTATAATAATTTTATAATATAGTATAAGAAGAAAATATGTAAATAAAATAACAATAAAATTATTCATTTTTTTTTTGTTTTGGTGTGTTTAAACAATGGTTTGCATATGCCTATTTATAGGCTTACAAAATATGAAATAACAACTTATGAATTAAATAACAAAAAGAGTTACATAAAAAAATAAAGATGGATATTCACTACAATTATGTTACTTCTTAACAGATTATTATTTGAAATGTCGGTGATGAAAATAGATGCATTTAATATTTTGAAAAAAAAAACGAATCTTTAATAGATTCAATAGAATTACCATAATTTGTCTATATGTATCAAATAAATACCTTAATTTTCACATTCACAAATAAATACCATGATGTGGTCAATTTATTCCAAATTAGTATCCATTTGGCACAAATTGGTGCCGTCATTGATTAATGACGATTGATATTTATTTGACATAAAATGAACAAATTGAGGTTTTTATTTATTAACTAGAAAAGACCCGCGCGATGCGCGGGTTATTTTTTTTATAGTTAATATAAAATGTTTATGTTTTGTTATGAAAAATATTGATATGAATATAGGAAAAATTATCTTATTAAATCAATATATATATATGTGAAAAAACGAAAAAGTAAAAAAGTTTAAATATCATTAAATTATTATATTATAAATTTATTTTTATATTGAATAATTTTGTCAATGTAATTCTATACGTTAAATATATATTTTTTACGATAATATGCATGTGTAGTCAATGTAATTACACATTTTATGTTATATCTCTTTGCATCTTTTTCATTAACGTATTTAGAAATAATAATTTATGGATTTGTTTAGTATAAAATTTTGATCATTTAGGTAATATAGATATTTTTTGCATCAATCGAATATTTATTAATTGATATTACGAAGAGCATATATAGTTAATTATTAGCATGATTATTGGATAAAATGATTTGTGTTAAAAATTATTGTTATTAATATAAATTATTTTTATTTTCATTATAAACAATTATTGATATGAATATAAAAAAAGTTTATATATATATATATAAATATATAGTTAAACTATATTATTAAATTATTATATATATTAAAAAAGTAAAAAATAGAAGAATATAAATATCATCGTATTATTATATAATAATTTTTTTATCTATACCTTGAATAAATAAGTTTGACAATTATTTGTCTCGAATGACTTTATTATACATATTTT